TCACGTTCAGAAGGATGATATTTTGACGTTGCGCGGAAAAGTTGTGATAGACGCCCTATCACACAGTTCAATTTCAAAAAAGGAGCTGTGCTTGGCCAGAGATCGTCACGGTTCCTTAGCAACTTATTGAATTCACTACAATAAATTCAAGTGGGTCGTGTGCTGTAGTGAAATTAGTCATTCAAAAATAATTTAAAAACAAACAACTAAATAAACGTAAATAAAAAGATTTTTCTCACTTCAAAACATATTTTGAAACAATATCCAGAAAATATTTAACAAGTGACTCTTAAAGCTACACGATGCATATACATATATAGAGCACAATCGTAGAGCATTAGGGCTAACAGAATTGGCATATTCAAATCTAAAACTTAAAGGTTTTTTGTGACCTGTCCAGCTTAAACTTTGCTTGTCATCAATAGAATGGTCAAGAGTCATAAAAATGTTCAAATCGGGCAGTAAAATTTCTGGTTTCTTGATTCTGAAAAACTGTCGGATCAAGGTTAATTGTAAAGTGGCAGCATCAGCTATCTCGTTTGTAAATGAAAATATTCTAGTTTTTATGTTGTTATACAGTTTATCACGTGAAGCTTATCAATATTCTCTATAAAGTTGAAAGCTCCCCGGAATTGATCTTTATTGAGAAGCTTATTTCAAAATGAATTTTTATATGAAGTATAAAGTTCATTTAAAGCAATTTAGAAAAAGTCATTAACTTTCTGATAAATATGCAACACAACATTGCATTACTTTAGGGATAGCTCTGGTCACTTGTTTTTCATGCAAAAATCGGACATGTACACATTCATTTATGTTTCTAATTTTTGTTTACAATATACTAATAAATCTGCAAGAATGTATAAAAATGAACTAAGACCATTCCTTGACCAACAAATACTTTGACATTGACGCAAACCTATCACCTGCATATTATCTCTTACAGGTTTGATATGCTCTATTAGATACATATAAGAGATTTAGTATTATAATAAACGATAATACCATTCAAATATGCCTAACGTTCCATTCTAAGTTCCCGCCTTAAAAAACAATACGAGAGGGAAGCTATATTAGGCTATTACATATTATTTTGCAATGAACAATGTCATATATTTTCTAACACAGTTTTTGTAATATTGATGAAATACAGAATGTCCTTAAAGATTTCATTAATGGCAAGATGTACGTTAATTTAGTTCTGTTCAGGTTAACGATTGATTTTTATAATTGATTTGGAACATGCATTTGTAGCAGATGCACATTAATTCTTATGCATTCTGCAATATAGGGTATTAAAGAGAAGAAAATAATATTGTCGTATGTGAAACATTTATAAAAATATATCCAACAATGAACAGACTGCTATTTATTTTGGTTTTATCCGGATTTTCGGAGGTTGCTGTTGCTCTCGGAAGAACGGAAGATAGTAAAAAGCTCTTTCAAATTTCTTTTTTATTTATTTTACACGGCTTTTTTGTTCCAGTAGAAAAACAAACGTAATAAATTATAATATAAATCGTTGTGTATTTACATTCTATTTCATTAAAGTAAATTATGTCTACCTATTGCTATTACCTAATAATGTTTATAATTATTTATGTTTTAAATGTTATTACTCATGTATTACGATCGGGTTTGGGTTATTTTAGTTATTTTATGGTTTTACTTTCATTTTTACTTATTTATACATTTTCTTACCTTTTAATTATTTCTGTTATTATTATTTCATAATCTGATTTGAAATTAACACGACTTCAAAGTTACATTTTGAAGGACTGAAATGTTTTTGTCATTCGTTGTTATATTTATTTTTTAAAATCATTTATTCATTTTTCTTTTCATCAAAATGTCATTTAATCTACAAGTACATCATAATAGTGATAATCATTCGATTTGAATAAAATTGTGTCCGTAAAAAAGGAAAAAAATAATGAATAATAAAATATTATAAAGCGTGCGTTTTCATGTCGACGTTGTTTTATTATTATCATTATAATTATTATTATCGTGCTTACTATAGTTATTTAATTATTTATTTATTATAATTAAGATAATTTTGACGAAATGATACTTAGTTTTCCAATTATTATCATTTTGTTTATTTTCATTTAAGGGTTTTGCTTACAATCTCAACATTCCTGCAACGATATATCGTGCATTCCAAAAAGCCACGTCTGTAACGGAGATGAAGAATGCGTCGATGGATCAGACGAAGTAGGATGTGCCGGTAAATATAATTCTTTAACAATAAACCTGCTCAGTTTAAGTTATGGATTTGGACAGCAAAACATTTGGAACATTCTCTTCCAAAGTTAAAAGGGATTTTGAAATTAAAATTCTTTATTGATGACAAAGGGTGTGAGATGTCAGGTAGAGTTTGTAAAGAATTAACAATAAATTATGACAAAATTTGATGATGAATTGTTCAAAAAAGGAGTATGGGGTTTATTTTACATAACGCATCATAAACGAAAATAATTGTGTTTTCCTTTATTGAAGGTAAACGTTAGTTTTAAAACATTTAAAAGAATATTTTAGAACATGCTTAATGTTTATAGCCTCAACAAAGAAGCGCTGAATGAGAGATTATTGTCATAAAAGTAGTAAATTGTGAATAAAAAAAGTAGTTTCACTTCCATACAATGCTAACAGTGACTTTAACTGTATTATTGCCAAAGTTAATAATAGATGTGAATGGTTGTCAAGGTTATTGGTCAAATAGCAGCTTTTAAGAAACTATAAAAGGAATACAAAAATAGAAAATGCTTGTCTCATATAAAAATAAAAACATTTCTGAGGCACTGAACTATCAATAACGGCTTGAATTAATGCCGAATTTGTGTCAAAGGGTTGTGTAAATAATGCACTTATGTTGTATGTGCCCATTATGCCCACCCAAATGCTTCCCTTTCTATTCTTTTTTTTTTATTTTTGTAGTCCGGATATATAGCTACATTGTACCAAAATATTACTCATTGGCTAATTATCTTTATTATTTTTCGCTTCTGTTGCCTTTTGACAATGAATAGGATTATAGTGATTAATTACTTGATATGAAGGTCAAATTACTTTTTTTACATTTTACTACCTTTTGACAATTATTTACGCATCCAGACTACTTTTGTCATGCGATAAGCATAAATATGCTTCAAAACCAATATCTTAATTTTAAACTTTTTAGAAAATAAGGAAATATTCATCCGTTTATGGAGCATAATGTTGCTCTAAACTACAAATGTAGGTTGCACAACAAGACCTGGTAATTTTTATTAATGAAGAAATATCTATGTTATACTTGTGACCAGGTGAACATTTCGTGATAAGATAGAATTTAAAAACAAAGAGTAAAAATAGTGAACTGTGATAATATTTAATAAATGGTATACATAATAATATGACATTATTGTTTTTTTTTTTTTTTTAATTTTTAGAAACTGCGGATTTCTCTCATACGCTTAATTTTCATTTACGCCCTTGATCAATACCTATACCACGACCCAATATCACACAACCCAATATCATCAACCAGCATTTATATGACACAAACATCCTGTTGTTACTTTATTTTTCAGATGCGCCTACTTGTTCTGGCGGATTGATTCCTTGTAAAAAAACAACTGGAGAAACATCATGTGTAGAAACTCAAGAACAATGCCAACAGATAAGCAGCTTTTTTATTTGCTCATTCCTTTACTAAGACATTATACACGGCATAGTAGGGCCGGAAGGTGATAATCGGCCCATGAAATGAATAATGGCCCCGGGGGCTTTAGCCCGAGGGCATTATTCATTTCAGGGCCGATTATCTCCTTCTGGTACATCAAGGTCGTGTATTATTGTCTTTAATACACTTGATAGATGTTATTTTAGCATTTTGTCTAAACAACACTTTGATATTTCTTTCGTTTTAATTTCTGTCTCTGTATTTGTGCTACACATTAACTTTTACAGAATTGTTAATTTTTGTGTGTTGAAAGTACACTAGAATCTAGTAGGAAGTTTTATTTTCATTTCATTCGGAATGAATGTGTCGTATTATTTCTTTAAATTGCAATAATTCTTCATAAATTCAAGCGCTTTGTTTTTCACTTTGACGTCATTGTTACAGTTTGATCGCGTGCACATGATACCAGGGGCCACAAATTTTTAATCGGTCTCGTGACACTCATAATCACTTTAAATCATAAGCAATTTTGTTACTATTTAGAGTAACAAGTAACAAGTGTAACTTTCATTTCATTTGGCAATACAAATTGCACACATTATCAAACTCATTCCAGAATTAAATAACAATTAAAATGATGTTTAATTTCCGCAAGAATTCCTAGGGTATCATTGAAACAAACATTCATTCGAGTAAATTTAATACATTGTTAAATTAATAGGCTCTCTAAGTAGGAAAATAGTGCCACACTTGTTAACATGAGTGGAATATGGAAACATTTGCATTCACATTTCATAATTTCTGACTAAAAACATTCATCTTGCTTGTGAGGGATGCTACTTGAATGTTATTATATTTCTGAACAAATATAATGGCCAAAGTATTTTTATATGGATGATATTGTAGATTTTTAAAGGTTCATCATTTCTGAAAAAAAGTCCTACTAACATTAAAAGTGCCCTTACTTTATTACCGTAAGGACAATTTTCTTTAAATGATGCATACAAGTGTCATTGAAGACATATAGCTGGCCCATGTTGACAATTTATAAGTTCCTTATAGTACAAATTAGGATGGTCATACCTTAATAGACAATATGTTTCCATTTCAATTATTATAAATGTATATACAGTGCGAGAAACAATGGCAAGAGTCACTGTAGAAGACTTGATATATACATGTCCATAATGACCTATTTGTATTGTATCAGAAAATATCTTATGTTTGTTATTTAAAAATGCGTTCTAAATAGCTGACATTCATTATATAATAGAATTACTGCTAAACTAATTATATGCAGATTTTGTGTTAATTGCCAAAATCTTGTTTATAACCGACAGGTTGCGGTGCTTTGCCGAATATTGATAATGGCGAAGCGAGTTTTCTATGATTCGGGAATAAAAAATCAGCCATCGGCGCGTGGGCAGATCTAATCTGTAATGAAGGGTATAAAAGTTGTACAAATAAGATTCGGTGTCTAGAAAGTGGGGTTTGGACAACCACTGTGTGTGAACCAGAACAACCAGGTAAGCAGGGTGACTTTTTGAGACATATATTTGTTTGTTTCAAACATCAGACATTTCAACAACTTAGTTTCTTAAAATTCTATATATTACCTTTAACCTGACTTGCAGTTGGCCCGAGCTCATTCAATCGGCACATTTGATATATAGATTTAATACATACATTTGATCTACAGCACTGTATGTTCAACTTTTCGGCAAAAATAAAACACAATAAAATGATTTTAAAAAGCTACCAATTGTAGTTACCAGAACCATTTTGTGATTCTGGTACCTTTGACAATAAAAACAATAATAGTGATTAAGTATTTAGTCACACATCGGCATTGTTAACCCATTGATACTTTTATGACAAATAATTTGACATTCAGCACTCCTTTCTTCAGGTGATAAACAACTAAATTGATCTTAAATAATTTATTTAAAGTTATAAAAATCATACTTGCCCTTCCTGAAAAGGAAAATATATTCTATTCTGTGGAAAAATGTTCTGTTAAACACTTAACCTCAAATAGACGAGTTTTGACGGCTTTTCGCCGCACCCTTTGAGGCCACAAGCAGTGAAAAATGCCCATTGAGAATTTTGGCCCAAATCACTGTTTTATGTTTGTAAAATGTTGATGAAAAAAAGTGATTACTTTTCGGCGCCGCCCCTTTTCAAAAAATACATCACGGGGTTGGTAGACTAGGGATGTGCTCCTTCTCTTTCTTGGGTATGAAGGGATGGCTGACCCCCTCATCACCAAGATAATTTTGAACATAAGACTGGCTAGAAATGGCCCTAGGTCGAATGTAAGGTAACGTGAAACCAACACTGAAAAGCCTTTTGATCTATCAATCCATAAAGAAGTTGCAACATTTGAAATCATTTTTGTAGAAAAAACACTGCAAAAAGTGAATTTGGCAAATTTGAGACGTCTCCCCGTTTCCATTGTAACATGAAATTTAAAATTTAGCATGTTGTTACAGAGGGCATGGTCCAGTCAACATTTGTGCTAAGTTTCAAAAGTATTGAATCATTTTTCATAGCTTCATAGCAGTTTGAACTTGTAACAGGAGGCTTTTCAATGATGTGCCCTCTTCTGTTTCGGGGGTTTGAAGGGGGCGGCAGGTCGATTGTAAGGCAACGTGTAACCAACGCTGAAAAACCTTTTACTCCTTATTGAGCATCTTGTCCCTTAAATATTTGTGACAAGTTTCATTAGTATTGAAGCATTTTTATAGTTTTATAGCAGTTTGAACATGTAACATAAGGCTTTTCAATGAAAACGGCCAATTTATACAATATGGTCATAAAGTAAAGGGTTAATGTTCCCTGTTATATTTTTTTAAGTTAAGGTGTAGATGCTGATAAACATTCTAAAACATATCCGTGAAATATAAAGTAAATTTCACATGCTAAGAGTGTATCTTGGAATGCATATTGGCAAAATATGTTCATTTACTCTAATCACAGTTCTTTAAATGGCCTGTGAATCATGTAAACAAAGATCACTTTGCGCAAGAGGAGCAAGATTTGTAATAACTAAAATTACTTTACTTAATATCGGAAAAGCGCCAAACTCTACACATTTCATTAATATATCCTTATTAAGTAAAACTACTTATCAACTTGAAAATCACCGCCGTGGTCGGGGGATAAAGTCGATGACTTCTAATCCAGTAACCTCTCTGACGTGGGTTCGATCCCCGGGAGATGCTTTGGTAGTTAAGCACGGAGGTAGGAAGTCTATTACTGGCGTAACTCTCCAGCAACGATGGGTAGGAAACTACCCGCCTATATGACTGAAATAATGTTGGTAACATGAATACATGTTTAAGTATTCATCATGTCTGTTTGAAGGTATACTATATTATGGAAAATACCTTAAGGGAACACAAATTTCAAATCCTCGGGATCACTTCATCTCTATTTGATTGTTTTCAATATTTTTTCTCTAGTCGTCTTTCTCTCCGTATTTCCCTTAACATTAAATAATGATTAGTTGTTTCGATTTGCTTAATTGTATTGCTGTTCACTAATTTATTGATGTCGTTGCCTATAATTATCTGGAAAAAGTATTTTCGTAATTGATAAAGGACAGTATTAACTTTCAAAAAATAGTTTAATAAAGTTTATGCAAACTGCACAGTTCTTATAATAATTCTCTTTCATTAAAACAAAACAAAACAAAAAAAAATACTATTTGCCATCGTTTGTTACAATACATCAAACGTAATAGTACTCATTTACAACTACAAAAACACGTTTATTTATTGATTTAATCTTTCTCTACCATTTTCCTTTGAAGTCATACAATGTAAGGTAAACAACACTTGTGGACTATCTGCCGAATCGTGTAGTACTCCTGGTCAAAGTAAGTCTGCAATGATTATAATTTCTTTCAAATTTTATGTTCCCTTCTTTTAATATTTTGGAAATAATTCTAATATCTTAATACTTAGTGAGTTTTATTTTAAAGAGCTTAACAATGATATATTAATGAAATATAATTAACAATAGCAAATAATCTTGATGGTTTGCCATTTACACTGCCATATGTATATATTTGCAATGTATGTTTTAAACTTGTCTACTGGTTTAAAATTAAACTTGTTTTGAAATGATATGATTTCCTTTGTAGAATGTTACATAGACGATGCCGAAGTGCTTTTACCGAACACTATCTCATACACATCTGAATTATTTGAACAACCTATTGCCTCAGAAGAAATTTGCAGAGGAATGTGTTTGAGTGCCACAACGTATCGCTGTGTTGCCTACATGTATTATCCACTTTCAAAACAATGTTCGACATACAGCAAAACTCCAGCTGAGGGATTACAAACGTATTATCATAATCTTAGTGTGCTGAGAATACTGACATGTCGAGCTTGTTAAACATTTTAAAACGATTATGCCTGATTAATGCCTTTTGTCAATCTATTATGACTTAATTATATTGTCTAGCATACATTTACTTCCTTTTTAACGTTTTGAAGGTTAATTTTCGGCATAAAATTACAAACAAACAAAATTCAATAAATGTATCTGTAAACTAGAACTGTATCCAAAGGACACGGATGCCCCCATCGACAGCATATATGTATGGTATTTAGTAAAAAAATCAACAAAGGGCCATAATTCTGTTAAATTTGGTCGCAGCGAATTTTTCTGCCTTTACTATCATCTACACATTAGGGTTATTTATCCCTGGAAGTTTAGGCAAAATCTGCTCACCGGTTTAAGAGTTGCGTTCACAAAATTTCTACAAAGTATATAGTGAAAAAATCAACAAAGGGCCATAACTCTGTTAAATTTGGTCGCAGCAAAAATTCCTTCCTTTACTACCATCTACACATAAAGTTTGTTCATCCCTGGAAGTTTAGGCAAAATCTGCTCACCGGTTTAAGAGTTGCGTTCACAAAATTTCTACAAAGTATATAGTGAAAAAATCAACAAAGGGCCATAACTCTGTTAAATTTGGTCGCAGCAAAAATTCCTTCCTCTACTACCATCTACACATAAAGGTTGTTCATCCCTGGAAGTTTAAACAAAATCTGCTGTCTGGTTTAAGAGTAGTTGCGTTCACAAAATTTCTATATGGTATATAGTGATAAAATCAACAAAGGGCCATAATTCTGTTAAATTTCGTCGTTCGCAGCAAAAATTCTCTTTTACTACCATCTACAAATTAAGGTTGTTCATCACTGGAACTTTAAAGTAAATCTGCCATCCGGACTAAGAGGAGTTGCGTTCATAAAATTTCTACATTGTATATAGTAAAAAAATCAACAAAAGGTCATAATTCTGTTAAATTTGCTTCCAGCAAACATTCCTTCCGTTACTACCATTTACACATTGAGGTTGTTCATCCCTGGAAGTTTAAGCAAAACCTGCCATCCGGTTTGAAAGAAGTTGCATTCACAAATTTTCTACATAATATATAGTGAAAAAATCAACAAAGGGTCATAATTCTGTTAAATTTTGAGGCAGCAAAAATTCCTTCCTTTACTGCCATCTACACATCAAGGTTGTTCATCCCTAAAAGTTTAAGCAAAATCTGCCACCCGGTTTAAGAGGAGTTGCGTTCACAAGATTTCGGGACGTACGGATAGACGGACGGACGTTCTTACCAGAGCTACATTATGGGGTTTTCTTTTCTTAATTCTTGCTCTTTTTTAACCCCACAATGCAGAAAATAACCCCACAAGAGAAACGGAATGAATGACATCAAAGACATCTTTCGTTTTGAGAACAATAGACCAAACCCCATAATGTAGCTCTGGTTTGTACGGACAGACGCACGGACGGACAAGTGCAAGACTATATGCCCCCAACTTTGTAGGGGCATACAAATCTTGTTTTTATACTTATTTAGTTATAAAGTATTCACGTGGTTATTCTACGAATATTAAAATTTAATTCAGAATATTATATCAAATCAATATATTGCTATGTACAATTGTGTTAATTATTAAACCATTTCAACGTTTTCAGCTTATAGATATAGATTTAAGACTTTACTTGATTGCAATGCCCATTATCTTCCAAAAGAGTTAACAATAAATGAAAATGTGTTTTAAACTTCACTGAGGTCCAAAACCTAAAAGTATGTTTTATCCAACATAAATCAGCTGGGTCACTTAAACAGAAAGATCTGCAAAAAGATAATTAAGGAAAATACTCAAACCGAACAAACGTCCCGTTAATAGATACCATGTCCGGCGCTTTTAATATCATAAATAACAAAGGAAATGTCGTAAATATACATTCCTATCTAATTGAAAGAACATCGGAATGTGAGACAATATTTTGAACGACAATTCGAATGATTTTACATTGTTTGTTTAGATTTTACGGCACGTTAACACATAACTGGTCATATCGTGCCGAATGCTATAATAGGCTTAAAATGCTATGTTAAACTTTGTAAATGACAATGAAAATTAGCCAATTAGATCCTAGAATACAAGTTTATCTCTTTCAAATAATCAATTATGTTTTTTGATGGAAATGTATTAAAGAGTTGCTTGAGTGAATTACACAATAAAAGCTATTACGGGCTTGTAAAAATCATGACATTCAGGAAGAATATTCTTGACAGTAAAATTTTCATTACAAGCTACACAGAAATGGACATTGTCATTCGTGAGGAGATAAGAGTGGGTAATATTAGTGTGTCCGATTCGGCATCGAATGAGAACTGTTTGATCATGGCAGTTGGACAGAGATAGAGGTGGTGACACATCTGGGGATGATTTATATCGTGAAGTTTATTTACTTGAACTCCGCGAGTCGGATATGTCGCCTTGTGAACAATGTAGTTTAGAAGAAATGGCCAGGACAAAAATGAAATTTTAAAATCAACAAAGGGCAATTACTCAAAAAATAAGAAATGCAGAGCAGCAGTTTCTGTGCACTGCACTTCTTATCAATAAGATCTATCATCCTATTAAGTTTCAAGTCTAAAGCTTTATAAATATTGATAAATGGCCTGGACAAAAATAAAGTATGAAAATAAACAAATGGCAATAACTCAAAAAAGAAAAAAATGCAGAGTACCAGTTCTTGGGCACTGCACTTCTTCTCAATGAGATCTAACATCCTATGAAGTTTCAAGTCCATAGCTTTTATACTTTAGGAGATATTGTCCGGACAAAAATAAAGTATGAAAATTAACAAAGGGCAATAACTCAAAAACTAGGAAGTGCAGAGTACCGGTTCTTATGCACTGCACTTCGGGTCATTATAAAAAGCATGCATACCAAGTTTAAAGTCAATCCAACTTATAATGACTTACTTATGCTCCGGACAAGCTTAAGGGGACGCCGACAACGACACCGACAACGACGCCGACAAAAGTAACCCCTATGTGTCGCCTTTTTCAAGGCGACACAAAAAGGGCTTTGTCCATTCAGATGTTTCGAGTTTATTTATAGCCGGTCTAAAAACAATTATTCAGTTTTTTGAAAATTTAATAATGGTTTAGCTAAAGCATCTACTTTTTAATTTCCTCGTATACCTACATGACTTGGAATCTAATATAATTTTAAGTATATCATGAAACTGTAAACGAGTTTCTTTATCATGATATTGTCATTTTTTTTTTATTTTAATGGATTTGAAAACAGTAAGCGGGTTAGAAAATATCACGAATTTATCATGGGTATGCTCTACTTTGTATGACAATGCTAAATATATAGCTTTTGCTTCAGCAGAAAAAAATGATGCATTATTTTGTTACCTCATACTAGATGTAAAATTTAGTTTCAAACACAGCTCATGAAAATTCTAAGTTGAAAGAGGAAAATAAATTCTGATGATTTTGTGCAAGAGTTGTAAGTCTTGTCATATATTATGTGGTTGATGACTAGAAACTTATATTTAAAGTTTGAACAAAATAGAATACTTATAGTGAGAAAACGTAAAAACTAGAATCAGAAATCTTGAAATTCAGTCTATTTGTTGCCATAGCAACCAAAAAAAGAAATAGGAAAAAAAAAAGGATTTGCATAATTCCAATACTGCCATTTACACATCTTTCAAGTTTCATAAAAAATATTTTCAGTAGTTTTTGCGTTATCACTGGATCCAGGTTATGTGTAAAATTTGCCATATTTTCAGTCTATTTGTTGCCATAACAACCAGAATTTTCAACGTAAGAAGTAAAAAACAAGACATGCATAATCTCCATGCTGTCATCTATCCATATATCAAGTTTTATAAAAATATTTTCAGTACTTTTTGCGTTATCACTGGATCCAGGCTTTGGGTAAAATTTGCCATGTTTTCAGTCTTTTTGTTTGTTTGTCTGTTTCATTTCACGCCTTTTCCCAACAGTATTTCAGTCATATAGGCGGGTAGTTTCTTAACCATCGATCCTGGAGTTACACCAGTACTAGACTACCTTCCTCCGCGCTAAACTACCAAAGCATCTCCCGGGGATCGAGCCACGCCAGAGAAGTAACTGGATTAGAAGTCATCGACTCTAACCCCTCGACCACGGAGGCGGTTATTTTCAGTCTTTTTGTTGCCATAGCAACCAGAATTTTCAACAGTAAAGAACATGACGTGCATAATCTCCATACTGCCATCTATCCGTATATCAAGTTTTATATAAAAAAAAATCTGTACTTATTGCGTTATCTCTTGATCAAGATTTTGGGTAAAATTTGTCATATTTTCAGTCTATTTGTTGCCATATCAACCAGAATTTTCAACATAGGAAGAAAAAAAGACGTGCATAATCACCATACTGCCATCTATCCATATATTTAAGTTTTATAAAAATATTTTTAAGTACTTTTTGCGTTATCGCGGGATCCAGTTTTGTTGCCCTACGGACTGACGGACGGAGGATAAACCTAAAGTCCCCTTCGGTTAACCGGTAGGGGACTAAAAATTATGAAAAAGCGCAAACAAGATTAGTAATAGTTACGATATTAGACTAAATACATGAAAAACCTTTAAAGGCGATAGCCAGCCTATCAAATGCCCGCTCAATAAGCAAACTCTCTACAGCAATAACTTCCAGAAGATTGGAGAGTGACTGTGTGTAGAGGAAAACCTATTGGAACTGTTTTCAATTACGTATGCTGTCATGAAGTTTTCCGGTAAGTTTCCTTAGTGGTACAAACTGTATGATCTCAAAAAACCGTTTACAATAGTCTGTCTATAATTCGCTAGCTTAAGAATTGAGACTATGAGATAACTTTAAAACCCAGTATATTTTCCCAATAAATTTCAGACAGTCGAAAATTCGATACTTTTATCGAGTCAGATATGTCATTTCTTTTTTATTTTCCTTCAACGGAAAAAAAAACATTTGAAAACTTTACATTTTTTACTTAATACAGTCTTAAATCAAACAAAGGAATCACTGGATTTGTTTATTGCGGGAATTTATTCGTTTAGTAGACATCTTACATAATTAATTGATTATGTAACTATTTATTTACAAGTTAACTAACCGAACATTATTTACTTCCAGTCACAATCTCATTAAACAGTAGAATTTTTTCATCAGGACAGTGCTTCTATTTGAGCTAAATTGTGATACCGTATAAAATGTAAATGCCAAAAAATTTATAATGATTAGTTGTACATTAAGACGAGATGTTTTTTTTTTTTTTTGTTTTTTTTTTAGATATCATTGGTGAGTTTTCTTCCAATTACAACCCATCCCGAAAGGAATTTAGAAATATTAACTGTTATAGTTAATCAAAATACTGTCAAAACAGGCGACCGAAATACTTCAAAAATATTATAATTTTAGATTTTTAACAACTGCAAAAAGTAGTGCTAAACATGCAGTAACGTGCTATTAAAGTAGCAAAATGTAAACAAAATAGTATTTTGACTCCTTTACAAAACACTAAATTAAAATCCAAATCCTATGTTATTTTACCAATTGCAAACAGAAATGTCTGCAAGAGAATTAGCTGCACAAAATTGTTAAGTTTGGAAAAATCGATGAAGTTATGATGGAGAAATAAGTTGAAACATTGCCTCGGGTGAACTCGACGTAAATCTTTTTTTCTTTCGTTTTCGGAGTTTTGAGGGGCTATATCCTGTGGACGCTGTACAACAGTGCGAAAGAAATGAAGTAGTCGATTTCTTCATACACATCAAATTATTGGAAGCAGACCATTGGTTGCATTTTGGCGATCTTCTTTGGAGAAAATTCCAATAAATATTCAAACCTCATACTCTAATACAACGTTAATAAGTTCAAATGGAAGTACTAACTTCAGATAATATTCCTATTATAAAACTAGGTCATTATCAGGGGGCTTTACGTTGACCAATAAAACGATAAAGAAATGTTAACATGGGAAAATAATGGCACTGAATCCAGCCGTACATTATCCTGCGAAAACTGGCCATCTTATGACCAAAAACACACTGATAATTTACCAATGGACATGCATTTAAATAAAAGCGTTATACAGAAATTTAAGAGCGTTATAACGAAATTTCGATTCCAAATCGATCAAATTGAAAATCTAAGAAGGTCAAGAAAAGACACAAACCACTAAATAAACCTTAAGACTTCCGGATGAAATTTGGTTTATTATTATCAAGATAACCTAACAAAAGACTACATCCCTGATGTCAAATATCTAGTATGTTCCCAGATTTTGTAAAGAAAAAGTCTGCATGTATCAAAATCTTGTGCCTTGCAAGATGAATTAACGTACATAAAAATAAACTTATACAGGAAATACATACAGATATACAGTACGATTTAGATTGCAAAGATCAGAAAATACATCAGAGCTTGCAACCCTTTAATGATATTTCTATTTATTCATGGCATTAAAATTATAATTGATTATTTTATATATATGATGATCAATTTATCGATTTAACCTTAAGCTTGAAATGTGATAGGCGAAAATTGATAAACGATCCCGGACATTATGGATACCGGGATTTTTCCGGACCATTGTTGTGACAAGTGACCGCGTTAAATGAATTATCTTCTCCTAT